AGGGAGGGAGAGAGGGGGAAGGGGAGGGAGAGAAAGAGAGAGAGAGAGTGTATGTGTGTGTGGGAGGGAGGGAGGGAGGGAGAGAGAGAGAGAGAGAGAGAGAGAGAGAGAGAGAGAGAGAGAGCGCACTCAGATTATAAAACCATGGTTCAACAAAGGTTCAGAACCCAAAGTTGCTTTCTGAAAAAATCAGGAAACTTGCAATAATTAAAGGGACTCCGGCACAGATATATCATGCAAATTGTAATAAACATATGGAACATATTATTATTCAGAAAGAGTCTTAAATTAAGGGTTTAAACAAAAGGCATCTGGTCCCATTTCTAGAAAAGGAGGTAGCTTCCAGAAGATGTGATACAAAAGTAAAAATGCAGCAGTCAGGCCAGTCCAAGAAAATAAAGCCATATTAGGTCAGAAATATTTTCTCCATGTAAAATTATTATCATTTTTCAAACATCTTCTCAATAGAAACTGACCGTGACAAATGCAAGAACAGTAAAATAAACCTTGGCAGGAACACTTGAGTTTCATTATTAAGTTACCCTGCACGAATTCAAGACACAACATACTTAATATTAGAAAACTGTTATCATCAAGGGGGAGGGCTCATGGCTTTGTTGCATGTACTATGAGAACTGGAGTATACTTCCAGTGATTCAAATTGTATATTTCTCATTATTGTCTAAAAGCTCAAGCTATATTTATGTTGGATCAAGTCATTGTTTGAGCCACACTATGTCATATACACAAATACAGTTGAATGAAGTGGGATGTATGAGCTCTGTGCTTTTAACACACATCGAGCATTGTAAATGCTATGGTATTTATAGCAAAAAATATTTTCCTATTACTTGAAAAAGAAGAGAAATCCCATTCTGCTATCATGCTCCATTAGAATTTCTTTGGAGTTACTCAGTGGGAAATGAGCCCAACTTAGAATCTGAGAAAGTTGTTTATGCAACTTATGTTTTTTTTTTTCTTTTTTCCTTTTTTAATGTACAAAAAAGTAATAAAAGCCCACCTAAACACTAGAAATGAGGCCAATTTTTGGCATAATTACATTCTTGCTCTTTCATCAAAAACAACAGAAGAGAATGTGAAAAACTTAGGCATTATACCTGATAGAAAGGCTGAATGAAAAATATATATCCAAAGGGAAATAAAGCAAGACATATTTTGGTTGAGAGTTGACCCACCTAGTCCAGAATACAAGCTAATAGGATGTTTACATAACAATTATTTTTCAAAATCTTTTTTGCTGATGTGATCTCTTATCTAGAAAAAAAAATTATAAAAACTTAAAAATGATAAAAATTTAATAGTCAAGTTCCCAAAATCCTATTTTTCAGAATCAAAGTCAAATAGCACCTCATCCTTTCTTGATTGCCCTGTCAGAAATGATTTCTCTCTCCTCCACTTATGTAGCATTAATATAGCCAACTCCTCTGCTGCCCAGGCAGAGGTAACTCCATTTAGTGTTGGCCCCTGTGTTTCAACTCAACTGTGTCCTATATTGCTATGCCTTTCAAGTACATAATATTGCAGTTTATGTAGATTAGTTTATGAAAACAATATATGATCAATTAACTGAATACTGTCAATTTTTCAGTCATGACATATGATGCTGATAAATGAGGGTTATCTGGCATGTAATTAATTAATCCAAGATATTACACTCTGGCACTCAGTGGAATGTAACCCGGGTCTAGGGATGGACTACTACTCTCTGATTTGAGGCCTGAAGCTGGGCCCCAGATTAATGTGACATCTGTGAAGTATCTCAATGCGTTAGCAAAGATATTTAGGATTGTGAGGAGGTACCATCCACACAAACCTACAGAATACACAATGCTCAGGTATATCGTGGTGTACGGGTGATCGTTCTGGAATGGAGATCAGTTTACTGCACACACAGACCAGGGATTTATATTTACTGAACAAGGGCAGATGTTCAGCCGGTGGTGACCAGAAAGGAAAAGGCAGGTGGAATGTCTTTCCCTGGAGAAGCTGCAGTGCTCAGGACATGGGCGGAAAGAAGTGAACAGAAGACCAGTTTTTCTTTTGTTTTGTTTTTTTTTAAAGAGGAAACTATCTAAGTTCCCAAGGTAAGAAGACAACTTGTTTTCTTACTATAGAACAACAGAACCCAACAGGCTTGCATATATGGTCTTCTAACTGCCCATCAATCAACCATGTAAATACAATGATGGCATGTTCTCCAATAGCTATCTAATGCAAAAAAAAAATTTTTTTTTAAAGTATTTTTAAAAAGACAATTACATGAGCAATGTTAATCCACTTCTCAATGATTTTGGCTCTCTGCTGGGTCTTGAGTTCTTTGCTGCCCAGGACAGTGCTGACCACGCATTTGGTAAGGGTGTTGAACTGAGAGATGGTCGCACGGATGGTAGGAGCCAAATGCTTGTTTTCCTTCTTATCTCTTTGAGACCAAATGCAGCCCAGGCAGTGGTGAGGAACGACCTTCTTGAATAGTTGCTGGAACAGAAGAGGAGCTGACATGGGTGACAACACTCACATTTCACATGGAAAAGCACACTATCTAGGCCACCCATAAATCAGTATTTTATAAATAGAGAAATAATCCTTCCCTGCATAGTTTGCCATTTGGTGTCATTTCAACAGACAAAGGTAAATAATTAATATATTCATGGGTCTGAAGAGCCTACGTGTTCTTTTTAACTCTACTCAACTAAGCAAATAGAACACGATGACCAGAAAAAAATTTAAGTGACCCAAAACATTTGAACTTACCTGTCTTGCAAGGTAAATCAAACAAGATCTATCCTCCTGATCAAAAAAGTACTTAAAGTTATTTTAACCTCAAAATCATACCCCACGGATTTCCTGTGTACTTGCGATCTTGACATCTAGGATGTCACTGATCACCTGAAAACTGACCCATGCAAACATCACATGCTGTCTGTACCCACCAGGGTCACTGTTTCACAGTCCTTAAAAGAGAAAAGAAGCATGCGAAAGGAAAAAGCATTCAACAATACACAGTAAAAGAAGGGGATTGGAAACCTGGATCCCGGGACTTTCCTTAAAATTAAAATAAAATTTTCTTGCTTTTTCTTATAAGTACTATCAATTGTGCCAACAGCAACCAAAAAAAAAATATGTTCACCGAATTATATTTTCATTTCTGCAAGAATTTATTTAACATGGGTTACAGAGGGGAAAACAGTAAAACTTACTTATATAAACTACTTGTTTGCTTCTGATTCTTATCTCCTGTTTATTGGAGGGAAATTCTTTGCTACTTTCAATACTGTTTTATCAAAAGTAAGTTAATGCAGCTGGGCACAGTGATCCACACCTGTAAGGTCAACTGCCGTGAAGGCAAGGCAGGAGGATTGCAAGTTCAAGGCCAGTCTTGGCAAGTTAGGGAAATCCTGTCTCACAACAATAAGAATTTTAAAAAGGACTGGAGTCATAGTTAGGGGTAGGGACTCTCAGGTTTAATCCCCAGTAACACACACACCAAAAAAAAAAAAAAAAAAAAAAAGGAAAATTAAGCACATAAGAGTTAAAACCACTGTAATAGTTCTGAATAATCCCCCTTAACAATATTTCTCAGATAATATTGACCTATGAAATGTGACTGACATAATCAAATATGTACAGCTAACAACAATATTCAAACTTCAAAAGTACAGGAAGCACACATGGAAATGAGCTGCCAAACACAGTCACATGTGGATTCAATGAATTTATTTTATTTTAACTTATACTATGACCCCTTTACAATCTTCCAAATAAACAGTTCAGCTCTTGAAATATTTATGACTTTAAAGGGAGAGAAATACCCATGGAACCCAGTAGATCTGGTTTCACTAGGATTAGCATTCTTATTTCTCTCTGCGATTTCAGCGCCAAGTAATATGCGTCTTCACCCTGGGTTGCAAGAAGAGCTTAGGCCTGAATTATTCAGAGGATTGATTCAAGTGACATTTTAGCACTGCACTTACAGGCACAGCCTCTCTCAGAGATGCAAAAAGGCATCAATCACTTTACCCCACGGCCTTTTTGGGGTCACTAGTAATGTCACTGCCCCACATTTGAAACAGAAGCACATCTGAGAAAGGAGATGTCCTGCTTCCAGGCATGGCGGCACACTCCTGTGATCCTAGCACTCCAGAGGCTGAGGCAGGAGGATGGCAAATTCCAGGACAGCCAGGGTAACAGAGTGAGTTCAGGACCAGTGTGGACTACATAATGAAATGTTGTCTCAAAACAAACACAAAAAACTATGAACATAAGTATGGGGAGTCCTCAAAAAATTAAAACTAGATATTTCATTTGGGTCAGCTGTTCTCTTCTAACTCTTCCAAAAGAGTTAAAGATATCCTACTACAGTGATACATGTGTACCAGTGTTTATAGCAGCACAAATCATAATAGCTACATCTTGGAAGCAGCCTAGATTTCCACCAACAGATGAATGGGCAAAGAAAATATGGTCCTTATACACGACGGAACACCACTCTGCCAAGGATAAACTTGAGGCATCTGTAGGTAAATGGATACACCTTGAGACCACAGTGTTAAATGAAATAAATCAGATGCATAAGCTTAAATATAAATACAAATAAAGAGAAAAATAAAAGATAAATAATAGGAGGTAAGGACAAAGATCTTTTTCGAATGGGAAGGGCATCAAGGGGGAGAGAGAAGAGAAAGGAGATTTCCCCCCAAAAAAAATTGAGATATGGGATACATGTGACCAACTTCCCACATAGAATGGAATCATTACATAATGCAAACACACACTGATGAAAAATAGTGAAAAACAAAACCTACTGCATCCATATACGTGAGCTGCTCTGCCACAAGATCTTCTGAGAAGCAGGTGAACTCCACTGGCCCTGCACCCTCCGGCTCTTCGTCCTCTTCCAGGCTGAAGGAGATGGAGCTGGGAGGCCCATCTGATCACATATGGAGAAAAGAAGTCAGTCACCAGGTGCCACCAGAGACAGCTTTACTTCAGAGTCAAACTGGACTCCTTTCAGGTCAGAACAAGAGGGCTGTGCTCCAGGAAACCCATAGAAGGGGAAGCAAGCATGACTCAAGTGAAATGGAGGCCCAACCTCTGCTTGTTCTCAAATTATTAATGAATTTCCTAGGCCTCGTGCTATCACTCCAAAAACCATCTCTAGACCAAGTGAGGTCAAGTTTGGAGAAACAAAGCTGGGCCTAAATTGAGCAGTGACACTCATCTCAGGCACCCTCAGACTCCAGCACTAACCCTGCCAATTGCTACACATTGACCACCAAACTGGCTGATGGATCACCTTGACTCAGAAGCCTGAAGGACAGGGCATGAAGGCAGGCCAGCCTTGAGTAGGGGAGCTGGGTAAGTTACATCTTAGAAATGCTGACAAAGCCCTCAGAATTCTCAGAAGTTTTCAGCATTCTCAAACTATTCAGAGATGCTTTTAGCTTTCACCAGAAGCTTGACATACATGAAGTAGTACAATAGACTTAAATTTGATTCACCTGAGCCTTATTATGGATAAGAGCATTTATAAGCAAATTACATAGAGCAAAGCCCAAAAAAGTGAGAGAAAGTTATTACCTAGAACTTCAAATAAAAAAAAATGAAGAGCTGCACACCTGAAACAGGCCCTTCAGTCTCAAACTGAAGAGATCTGAATTAGATGAAGTTAGGCTGGCATCCCCAGCCTCCCTTCCCTGCAACTTTTCCCCTAATCTCGGGTCATTTCCCAACCTCATGCCCCTTCAACTCCTTACTCTCCCTCCTGCCAAACCCATTTACAGGGAAAAACTAGTTGTACTCAGTTATATCCTGGCAAAAATTTAAATCAGCATGTTACTACTCCCCCGGAATGTTTTCAGCCTTTTCTCTCTTTCTTTGTAGAATGGAAGACTTTTTTAGACATCTTGGATCACACTGGTGTGGCTTTTTCTAGGTTTCCTAGGGAACAGGGCTTCTGAGAATGGCCCCTACATTCTCCCTGCTGGGATACCACATGGTGCCAGCCTGCTCTGTAGGCCAGTGACGTAAGGATTGCCCTCTGATCCCAGAGTTGAAGGTCTTGATGTGAATGAGGATGAGTTATAACTGGAAAATATAGAGTCCCCTGAGTCTGAGTTACAAAGCAATCACCAGTTAACAGAGGAAGACAAAACCCCATGATATGGGGATGTTAAGCAGTCTGATTTCATCAGTTTTCCTCCAGAGAACTCTGATAGTGCATTCATTCAGTGGAGAAATAAGAAACTTGCAGTCCCAACAAAGGTTCAAAAAGTGCCTCTCATCCTTCTTGACAGCTACTGTATAAATATGCATGCCTGTGGGCAGGGCCAGCACAGCATGTGGTACCAGGGATCAAGCCCCAGACCCTGTGCTTGCCTAAGCAGGTGCTTAGTCTGCTGAGCCATCTCACTGGTCCTATTTAAAGCAGTGCAGAAGCTGGCCCATGTTAGCCAAGAGGTGTATGTGCTAAGGATTACTCTTCCTGTTCATTCAACAAATACTGTAGCAGTACAATATGCATACAAAACATTGGCACACACAAAGACGGCACGGTCGGTTGTCTCTGGGGCTAGGTCCATGCTTTTACTGTTTCAATTTCTGTCCTTCAGAGATAAGTAAAAACCTAAAACATAATTCTTTTTTTTTTTGGTAATGTATTTGGTATAAGGTCTCACTACGCAGCTCAGACTCATAGTGATCCTCTTGTTTTCAGCCTCCCCAGCGCAGGGATTACAGGTGTGTGCCACTATGCCTGGTCTCATTGGCTCAGGGTGCCTGTGGGTGGGGCCAGTACAGCCATGTGGTACCAGGGATCGAACCCCGGTCCCTGTGCTTGCCTAAGCAGGCTCTTAGTCTACTGAGCCATCTTGCTGGTCCTAAAGCATAATTTTTACTTCTGAAAAATATAGGGAAGTTTATTTTTACTGGAGTGATATTGGGTAAAATAAGTGTACTGGAACCAAACTCCTAAAACTTCCTTTCAATGATGACTCCTATACTTAATAAGCAGAGCTTAGAGCTTTTTTTGATTAAAACTTTCCAAACTTAGAAAAAGATTTTTTTTTTCTTAGGCATTGCCTGAACATTTTCATGAACTCAGGCACGCTACATCTCCCTAGCCTCAGCCTGCCAAAGGGACTCTGCCTTCCAGGGCCTGGGTGGTTGACAAAGGACTGGTCCCACCAGTTCCCCAATTAGGCCTGTAGCCATCGGCAGTCCCAGTGGGTGGAGCTGGGCTCCTGCAGCATTTCCCACTACAGCACGAAGCCAGGGGAGGCCCTGAGGGGCCTGAGGCCCGCAGCTGGAGGAGTGCCCCTGGCATCTGGCATTCCAGGCAGATGAAGTCATCGAAGATATAAAGCCTTTGGCAGGAGGCTTCTAATGATGCAATCACAACCCCCCATTTGGTCCCTCAGGCGGAAAAAATTCAACAGGTAGTGTGTGAACTTAGGGTTACTGTATTTTCTTTGGAGCTGAGGCAGCTTCCCTTATCTGCGTGGAGGACTCACTTCCTTTCTCTCACTGAGGAAACCAGGCATGGCTTCACGGAAATGCCCGTCAGAGACTCCAAGTGGGTCAGCTGCCATGGTAACCATCGCCCAGCACCCCAGTGGCGAGATCAAACATCACACTTTAAGCCTGACCAAACTTCTTTCATAATTTTGACAAAGCCTGATAGTTCCAAGTACCCCATGACCAACAGTGGGGGCCTTTCCTTTGTCCTTGAAAATAGGAGGTCAGTTCCTCCAATAGGAAAAAACAGCCTCACTAGCTTCTGTTGATGAGGCCATTAGAAATGCTCAGTGACAGTGATGGTGGTGCCAGGGAAGCACTTTCTACAGTGAAAGAGAAACACCTCTCTATGTTTTTGTTAGGGACTGAGGAGGTACTTTTTATCAAGATGAACTACTTATAATTATCAATAAATTAATTGTATAGATAAAGGGCTTCATTGTTAAATTTCCTTATGTGCATAAATTGTGCTTTTAATTTCTTGCTTGCTGATAGGGGCGTGTATGATGGGTTCCTATTTGATTGAAGGATGAACCATTAGGCAGATAATAAAAAGCAAGTTCAGGGTCAGCATGGCACATCCTGACAAGGGAATTAGAAGGGAAACCTTCCTGGTAACGAAAGAAATCCTAGGAAGTAATTCCTTGGAATCAGTTTCAATTTCATCTATAAAATACAGAAGCAAAGTATGTGGTCTTTAAAAGCCCCCTCCCCACACTTTTTAAAGTGTTAAGGCTCTGAAATTAGCACTTCACTGGGCATGCTGGTGCAGTCCTATAATCCCAGCACTCAGGAGGTGGATTTTGCTGTGAGTTTGAGGACATCCGGGCCACATACTGAGTTCAAAGCTTACATAAACTACATAGCAACACCTTGTCTCAAAACAAAAAGTGAAATTAGCACCTCAGTAATTTTATAACCATACCAGTTGCCTAGCAGCTTGTCATGAGGATTTCCTGGTTCCTTGTTCGAGGGTTGCTGAACCTCTGTGATGCTGGATCAGAATCTAGATTCTTACTCAAGACCCACAAGTACTCACTGTCCGTTTCCACTTCTTGCTTCTGAAACTGCTCAAGAAGATTCTGCGCCCTTCTTTCTGGGTCAGAGCCTGGCATCATCCTTTTGAGATAATCCAGCAGTTTTTGTAAGCAGGGGAAGTGAGGCGGCTCCCGGAAGTCTTCTGCACACTGGTCAAGCCAGGCCCTTAGGATTGACGCGATGGCACTGAGGAAGAGAAATGGAGAATCACTGCACCCAACAGGCTGTGTGCTCCAAGCAAGGCCTGCACCTGGGCGGGGGCTATTCCAGGTACACACTGGAGAAAACACGGTCAGGTGGTCAACAGATAACTCACCTATGCGTTTCTGGACACAGAAGCAAATTTAAAGCATTTCCTAACAAGCTGTATTATTTTTATTTTCAGTGGTGGAGGATTAAAGAGGAGGTTAAGGAGGATTCAAGAGGAGGGATGGTGACGATTGATAAGGCTCAAAAAAAAGAAACTTAAATTTTATTTTTTTAAATTTTTTTTTAAAATTTATTTATTTATGTGTGTGTGTGTGTGTGTGTGTGTGGCCAGCTCAGCCCACCAGGGGGCGGGGCTGGCTGGCATGTGGTGCTGGGGGATTGAACCGAGGTCCCTGTGTTTGCTAAGTTTGTTCTAAGTAGGTGCTTTAGACCACTGAGCCATCTCACCAGCCCGAAACTTAAATTTTAGAAAAATACATCCAGTGCACAAAAAGACATGCAGAGGATTTAGTAAGTTTGAGTTCAAAGCAATCTATACATAATGAGATTATATGGTTTCCAATTCTGTACTCTCTCAAATCAAAGACCACAAAATCTAGCCCACTAATACTTCAGGAGATAGCTGACCACCCGTAGGTCATCCACCAGTAGGTGAGCCGCCTCACTTTCCTTCCTTAGAAAAGATAAGTACATAAACCTAATTTTATAAAGCTCACCACACCTGCACTGTGAGCATCAGAAATGTCCGCATGAAATTATCCTTTTGCTTCTCAAGTTATAGTGAGGAGAATGCTTCAAATGGGAGAAATGGGACAAAGAAGTTACGTCTTTGAAAGCGACTTGAGAAAAATTTGATAGGCAAAGTCACTTCAAGGATGGTTTCCTCTGGTGGCTCCATGGGTCACAGGGTCCCTTCAGGGTCCACTTTGAGAAAAATGAGGCTCCGAAGCACCGAGACAGGGTCGTAGCGTGTGCACTCACGGGGTGCTGTCTGCCAATAGAGAGCAGCCCCCCACTCAGAGAAGAATGAATGACAATAAGGGTAAAATAGCTAGAGTGCTAGTATCCTAGGCTACATACGCAGCCTCCCAGACACTTCTGATTCTGCCTTCCTAAAGTTTGCCGCCTGTGCAGCCAAAGCACTTTCAGTAGGGCCAGCCAGATAGCTCAGCGGACTAAAGCGCCTGCTTAGGCAGAGCACAGCGGCTGCAGTTCAATCCCCAGGGTGCCATGCCAGCCCTCACAGTGTGCTGAGATGTCAGTTGAGACTGAGCATGGTGGCAAGCACCTGTAATCCCAGTGCTTGAGAGGCTGCAAATAGGAGAATCACTATGAGTCCAATCTATGCAGTGAGACCCTATAGACCCTGTACCAAATATATGAAAACAAAAGCACTTTCACTGATGTTGGCAAGGACTACACACTGATCCACGCATATATTCGTATAGACACACAACACGATCTTAGCTACAGACCTCACTGACCAAAGTGTTTTCAGTCAAAAAATGTTTGCAAGTTTTAAAATTACCATTATTATTTAATGGCAGTGCTTCCCATTGGAAGCATTCTCCTCATTGTGATACACTGTACTATAAACTATTTAATTAAGATGTTATTATGATTGAAAGTTATTATTATCCATATATGTAAAATTACAGCCTGGGCTTTCACAGGTCTACATGACTTTCATACCAAAAAGCTAGACAATGGTCAGAGCATAAAAATGCCTAAATCCCATTCAACATTTAACTGTTGGACTCAAAATAGAACATATAGTAAACTGATGTGTTAAACGTCTTCTCTATTGTGTACATAATTCTTTCTCTAGTGTGGCCTAGAAGCCATTTGGGGCTATAATATTCAATTATCTAGATCAAAAGTAGATGACATAAAACTATCAAATAAAAGTCACACAAATAATCCAATAGTTGAACTCTTTATCCACATTAAATAAAATTATTTAAAACATTTCATTATTTCCAGAAAGCCTGTAGAAAGTAATCTGGGCTCTGAGGGTAATTGAAAACATGAATAAAATTAAACCAACGGGCTTATTGTGTGGGCCCTCATCTTGTATTCATTATTTCTTCTTTCTTCCTCAAAACCAAATATTGTGAATGAAAGAAAGTGTTGCGCTAATATTTCATTTTATAGCACTATGATATTGCCTGTGAGTAACTGCCTTCTTCTTGATCAGCAGTGAGCTGAGAACTATGCTGGATACATAAACAGGTAACCAGAATGTGGGAGACTGTGCCATATGCATACAGCAGGCTGATTCCTGTAGGAAGAACACATGCCCACTTCTCAAAAGAAGGATAAATTGATTTATTTAATTCCTAGCACTTGCTAAGAATATCAGGGAGAAGATCTCTCCCAATAATACTAATGAAGACACAAATATGGATACAGAGAAATTTACATCACATAATAAAAGTCAACAAGATCATTGATCTAACAATTAGACAGACAACCTAATGACCCATCAGGTTTCAAAACAGAAGACCTCTCACACTAAAATTTAAAATTATAGGTAAAAGTTAGTGAGAATAATATATCATTTACTCTTTAATTGTTATTAGTTATTAATTTTGCAGTTATAAAACTCATTTTTATAGAAATAGTAAATCTTACACATACACCCTCACTCTTATCCCACTCCCATGACCTGTTATTAATAGTCTGGAGTATATCCTTCCAGACTGTTTTACACAGGAAGCGTATCATTTCTAGACACATATTTGATTATACATAGCATGTGTATTCAAAGCCAGGCACACACTCGCAATCCTAGAACTCTGGGAGGCTAAAGCAGGAAGAAAACAAGTTCAAGCCCATCATGGGCAATTCAGCAAGACAAAAAATAAAAACTAAAAGAGTTAAGGATGCAAATCATTTAGGAGGTCCTGGGCTCAATCCCCAATACCACAAAAATAACAGGTATATATATATCAACTTTTCCCCCCTCTGAGCATTATGTTATAAACATCTTTCAGCTCACTACCTCTAGATGTATCTTATTCTCTTGACTGCAGTGTTTCATGACATGGCCATGCCATAATTTATTTCAGTTATTCTACCAGTAGGCAGATAGTTAAGTAATGTTCAGGTTCATCACAATTGCAATTATACAAAGAATATCCAGGTTGACATCTCAGTCTGTCTGTGAGTTGTTCTGCAGGGCATGTTTTGGAGAACTCACATCCACAGAAAGCTGTAGCCTCAGACACCCGAAGGAGTGCTGAGGACAAACTGTGGCCTCAATCAGGCCTGTCTGTCGATATATCCTCTTTCCTCCTAAACCTGACATTTTCAACTAGCTCTGGTAATCTCCATCTCCCTCTGTGACAGTGACTTCACCTAAAGAGGCTTTGAAAGTTCATTGCTGAGTTTGCCAGAAAAAGCATTTGTCGCACAAAAGAGGGCCACAGGAGGAGGAGGAAGAAGAAACAAAGGAAGGGAAAGACATCACAAGCAGCATGAAAAAATGCAAGACAGACCCCTGCCCTCCTAATCGGCCAAGTGTTTCTCAGCATGCCAGGGAGAGAGGCTTTCTGGAAAGGCCTGGACCCTTGCCCAAAGCTCACAGTAGCTTTATGTTTGCCAGTGTTGGGAAGAAACTTTCTGTTCCTGATGTAGTAGGAAGCAGATACAAATGTGAAACTTTTAAGATTCCACAAAAGAAAGGAATATCACAACAGCATGACACAGAAAATGCAATTGTGGACAATGGCCTTCAGTCTTATTCTGCCGGGTTCTACTCCTAAGACCCAACTTACATCCTAACCAGCTCTAAACAGGAGGATGGACAGAACATTAACGGGAAGTCACAAACATAGAGGAAAAGTGTGACTGCGTCAATGTCAGACTAGAGAAGTCACTTGGCTCAATGCACAGACCAAGAAAGGAGCCTTGGAGAAGGAAAACCTGATTCCTCACTGCAATGAAGAGAATCAGATAAGTCAGTTAATTTCACTGACTCCTATTTAGAAAAGAGGCAGAAATACCTGCTGCTCCTGATACCAAGCAGTTGTGACTTCAACAACACAATGTCAATAAAGACATTTTGAGATACCTGGATAGAGACACAACTATCAGAACCTCAACTAGTTTCTGAAAGTCACAAGAGGAAGGGACTGAAAATTGTAAAATGGGTTGCTGAAATCAATCAGTACTCATGGAAATCAAATCAGGAATTTTCTAGTTATCACAAAAGGACACAGAGCTACATCATAACACATGTGGCTCTGGGCCTACAGGAGGAAGATAAACTTTGTGAACAAAGTATACACACACACACACACACACACACACACACACAGTCTAAGGCATACTCCCTGGGACAGATCAATGGAAAGATATTAAGCTATAATATTAACTAGCAAACATGATTCTTGAGTGACCTGCAAAGACCAACGAAATAGTTCCTGAAACCATATGGAAAGATGAATTGTGAGATAGCCCGCATCAATAAAGAGAAAAGACAGCGTGTGGCCTTCCTAGCCAGTGTAACCTTTCATGGTTGCAAGCAACTCCACAGACCCCAGGGGATGTTAACCCGAGTAAGTTCTGTGAGGCAGGTAGGCCAGGGCAGCAGGCAAATGCAACAGCAGAGGAGACAGCCAGAGTAGTGTTTTCCACATCACACATTCTTGGCAACATGCAAGGTTTGTGGCGTGTGAGGCTTTTCCAACCTACCACAATGGCCAGCAGGGAAAGAAAGACATGCTCAGATTCTAAATATGGAACTCTCAAGCCCTTTCCCTCTAGCAAACAGACCATTAGAGAGAATTAGGTCACAGATTAAACTAATAATGAGCATGTCCTTCATTTTTCATGTTCACAGAAACTGATTATGTAAGGAGGGTCACACCAAGAGGCATCCAGGGTCCTCTAGAAGCATTTAACTTCATGGGAGCCAAATTGGTCAAGGCTGGGGTGAGGGCCTCCATGAGGATATTAAAGCTGAGATCTTAAGGATAAGTGGGAGGCACCGGGAGAGGACGCTGCAATGCAGGCACAAGTCCTGAGGTCAGAGACAGCCAGCACTGAGGGGATGTAAAGAAGACATGCTTAAAGTATGGAAGGTCAGGGGAATCACAGCACCAGGTTTGCTATACTCATTGATTTCTTAGCCAATCAGAGCTCACACTTTACCACACCTCATTAAAAGGTTTTAGATGCCTTGGCAGCAAGGTATAGGGAAGAGTACAGGAAGTGAGCACCCTGGGAACTTTTAGGTGTGCAATGCCAATTATAATCAAACTGCAGGTGCTTAATAAATGCAGTGAGTTTGGGGGAAAATATTCAAGAACACTAAAATTCCACAGGTGATAAAATACTCTAGAATTAGTAAACCATTTAATAAATTTTTCTATTTATAAAATCATCCTCCCACAATATATATTTGCTAAGCCAAGACAAAAAGAACAACTCTGTCCATTTAGAGCTCTTTTCTCTCCCCTGAAATCAATTTGAGATAATAATTTATTGTAGGCCTTCATCAGCAGAAGATATGACATGGAACTTTTTTTAAAGGAGCAAAATATTTTTTTTTCTATTTTAGAACATGCTCCAAAAGCTAGGTCTCATCCTGTAGATAACAAAAAGGAAACAAGATCTATGTTCTTAAAGGTCTGTGGGCCTTGAAAGAACTGTGGCTGTGGCCTTTGCCAGGCCTCAGGGTGGGACCTAATGCCTTTGTCCTAATGCCTGAGGAAATGAAGGCCAAGTCAACTTCAACACTGCCTCTGTGCTGGATTCTTCACCTTGTCCTTCTTGTTACAGTTTGACGCTCCTCTGAGTCAGGAAAGGCTGCCAGATAGAGGTTGCCTCTGAGCCTCCCGCTACATGCCTTCCCTGATGAGGAAACAAAGGAAGGTACAGAGCCTTTTTTCATTCTTTCTTTCTTTTTCTAGAAAGGATGGAAACATTATTAGGACTTGTCAAGGTTGTCTTGCAGGGCTTCTTGTACTTTCCCTCCCATTTGGCTATCAGTGGTAAATAAGGGTTACACTACTGGGAGAGGAAGTGAAAGAGGGATTGAGATAGGAACAAAGAAGTAAATGCCAACAAAGCCAAAGCAAAAGACAAGGACAGGGAGCTATCAAAAAAGAAACAAACAAACAAAAACAAAAACAAAAACAAAAACAAACAAACAAAAAAACTGCAAGGCAAGGAGGAGGGAGAAAGATTCTGAAAAGAAGACTCAAGAAATACCAGTAAGTGTGACTGGAGATAGCCAACAGTAGGATTAGATGAGCCTGAAACTAATTACCCAAAGTCAAGGTTACTCACACATCTGCCTTTCATTCCCACACTAAGTACCTAAGAAAAACATTTTCATTATTATCAGAGGGGAAGAAACAGAGGCCACATAGTGTAGAGGTTAAGGCCTGGGTTCAATTCAAGCACTTTCACTTGTTCACTGTACGAACTTGGGAATGTTCCTTACCTTCCCATGTTCCTCATCTGTAAAGTGGGAATAATAATAGATAGGATTATTATACTGTATAGAGTATTTATCCCAGGCATTATGCCTATTCAGCAGTCCATATCATCTAGCTACCATTAGAAAAGAGCACTGCCCCTCGCTGAAATTATCTTTTTGGGACATCAATAGCTCATTTTCCATAATACTGGTACTGTGGGAGACTGAGGCAAAAGAATCACAAGTTTGAGCCTGGCCTGGGCAACTTGGACAGTAGTAAGAGGCTGTCTCAAAATAAAGGTCTAGAGATGTAGCACAGTGCAAAGGCTGTGGGTTCAGTCCCCAACATGGCAAAAGCAAACAGACAAAAAACAGTTCCACGCGCTTGGCAGCTGCGGTTTACAGTGCAGTTATGGCCAAGTGCAAGAACCACGCCACGCACAACCAGTCCCCAAAATGGCACAGAAATAGCATCAAGAAACCTCAGTCGCAAAGATACAAATCTCTGAAGGGGGCAGATCCCAAGTTCCTTAAGAACATGTTTTTTGCCAAGAAGCACACAAGAAGGCCTTCAAGAAGATGCAAGCAAACAGTGCCAAGGCCATGAATGTATACGCCGAGGCTATCAAGGCCCTCCTCAAGCCCAAGGAGGTCAAGTCCAAACAGACAAAAGACAAAATCAATTTTCCACAGTCCAAGAAGGGGGCTTCATGTTATAAACAGACCTTTATCAAAAAAACTGTGGAGCTCTTGTATGCTTTGGCCATTTAAAGGGAGTTTCCATTGGTAAGGCCTGTTGCTACCAGGCACTGAGAACAGGAAGCAGGTTCTCCGTTGATGGCCCTGACTAATTTGGCCTTCCTTCTTTCCCCACATCCTTCAACCCATCTCCTTCCCCAGGAAACAAGTCTAACTTCCACATTTCATAACAGCTGCTTGAGGGACCTTGCTCAGGGGATTCGTTCCATAATAAACCAGCAGCCTCACAAAACAGCATGGATTACAGGAAATAATGTCAAGTCAAAAGATCTCAGAATACAGAATAACAATCTAAAATTGCAATCACAAGAGTGATACCATCAGCTCATCCTTCACGTACCTCTGCCGGCTCTTTACTCTGATGTAGGCAAGCGTAGGAGGAGATCATCAGAAGCAGCTGAGATCCCCATATTCTCTGAGACGGCAGGTCTAAGATCAAAAGCCCTGGGTAGCAGACTCTGGTCTCGGTGTTAGCTGAACCTGAGTTCAAACACCAGACCTGCCACTTAATCAACTGGTTGATCTTAGTCAAAGCATACAACTTTTGTGAATCATACACCTACAACGTAAGGGCAATATTTAGGGTGCTTGTGCTCATAAAAGAAAATATAAAGCACCTGATCAGTGATGGTGAACCTTTTAGAGTTTTCAGTGATAAAAACGGCCTACTGTGGTATGCATGCCGTAGGTTCACTGGCACTGACCTACTTCATGCCTGGAGTAAGCTGGCACACACCTCAACCGTGGAGGTGGCAAGGGCGGTGTTGTCATTTTCCCTGTTTGCCAGGCTACAGGTTGGATGGAGGGACAGAGTCGGATTGTGATGTCTGTTTACTTTCTGTAACACACAGAAAGCCCTCAATGACTGATTTTTCTTCTTTTTGAATCACTGATTATTGATATTGATTTATTCCTCAATTATTAGGACATTAATTTCTGCTCAGGAGGTCTCAACCTACACTCCTAAAATGCATTGTTTTCACTGTCTTGTTCAAACATTTTAAAGACAATGTCAGGCTCTTTTATGTAGAAAGTTACTTATCTATATCTTCTTTCATTTTAATATTAAACATACTCCTTTCACATTATAATCTCAAATTCTTTTAAATTTTGGGAACTTTAAATCTCATTTTTGCTATGTTCCTTATCCCTCCTTTTTCCCATTTTTTGTTACAATCACTTTGATTAGATTCAATTGCATTCTTAGACTATTTGAATTGACTGAAATGAACATCAATTGCAAACCCTCCATGAAAACTTCGTAACACCTTCCACCATGAAATTCCACATGCTTAAAAAAATCACTGCCAGCTTCTTTGACTCATCTCACTTTTCTCTAATGTATGTCCAAGGCCTTAGATCACTATTGTTCATTTCAGCCTTTACCAGTAGCTAAAATCTGTATCACAATATTGGGGGAAAGATTACAAGAATGATATTTGTCACACTTGAATGTGTGAAAACGACGACATAATTATCCCAGTTTTTGTCTGTTTGTCGTGTGTGTGTGTGTGTGTGTGTGTGTGTGTAGTGCTGGAGATCAAACCCAAAGCTTCACACACGCTAGGTGAGCATTCTGCCACTAAGCTACACTTCCAGCCCCATACAGAAAATTTTCCACGGTTTGAAGCACTGTTATAGTAAAGAGCTTGAGAAAACAAAACTTGGCATTCCAGAAGGAAAGTGATGAGATTCAACTAAAGAAAAGGAAACAGAAGCTTTTCCAACATTATATTTATCGCAAAAGGGAAGTAACAGCACGTCATTTCCGGAGGAATTTCAAATTTCTTTAAATAGAATGTGTATATGTACACACACACACACATAAAATAATCTCATATATTTCAGACAATGTAAGAATCATGATGTAAAATCTCTATATGATTAATATCCTTACTTTATATTCTCTTCACTTCTGAATTCAATGACTATAATAAATTTTCTCTAGAAAAAATACCTTTTTTCTATTTGGCTCAAACTGTATTATTCTCAAAGACAGCATTTTATCATGTAAAAATGTCACCAGGAAGGATAAGGAGGGCACAGGTGGAACGAACACAGAGACATTCCTCCTGTTGCAGGGAGTTTCCTGATTCTTAAATTGTGTGTGTGTGTGTGTGTGTGTGTGTGTGTGTGTGTGTGTGTGTGTGCATGCACAGCTGTTGGAGGAGAATCCAAGGACTCGTGCATGCCGGATAAATGCCCTTTCCAGCCTTGATTCCTGAGTAGTGATCAGTTAGAAATTCTAGAAACAACGTAACACAGTCTATCATATATATCAGTCTGGCCTTAAAATCAGAAATCACAGTGTGGCAAGGATGCC